GAAACAACGTGATGAAACCTGAGCTTATAATTTCTAACTATAAGTTTGAAATCGTCATCCCACAATGAGCAAGCGTGGTGATTAATGCTTAATTAAACCTTCTCCGTGTGAGAAGAGGCTGTGCTCAGCAGTGGGCACTTATAAACAGCTGATGTGTGTATGTGGTCTGGGTTGAAATATACGGAACTATTGTGTGTCTTTAATTCATTGGATACTAGCTTTCTTCTCGTGTCTTCGCTCATGTGAAATTTTAAAACCTCTGTCTCTGTAGATATGCAATATTTGGTCTAATTGTTGTCACAATGATGTTGTATTGCTAAAACATTTATCGATTATGTATTGTTACATTGTAATTAGAGGATTCGATCCCGGGATCCCGAAGCCCGGGATCCCGGGATCCCGATCAAATTTCGGTCCCGTAATTTTCGGGATTATTTTTTAAGTATCCCGGGATTTTCGGGATTGGAATTTATGCTCTTACCAATGCATTTTGAGATTCATTTTTGTGATGTAGAATAAAAATATGCATGAAACGAAGCGAAACGCACGTTAGAAGTTTTAACGGCCATCTTGTTTACACATCTGATTTCATTTGTAATTGCTAACGGATCTTTTTGAGATCATTAAACAAGAAATGAATCTTTATGAAGCTAGTTCCACACAAGGTTATAATTTGGAGAAGACTTATAAAAAAATATTGACGATTCCTCCAACTTCCATTGAGCCTGAGCGCGCTTTTTCTGCCTCTTCATATTTGTGCAACAAATTAAAAAGCAAGCTTTCTGATGAGTCGTTGGATGCTTTACTATTTCTTCGATATTATTTTCGAAGTTGAAAGAAATAATTTATAAATTACCTTGTATTACTGATCTCTTTAGAATTAAGTCATTTTAGATTTTTATCTAAACAAGTGTTTAGAAGTTGATTTTTTAAAGATTTTATGTGAATCAAAATAAACAAACTATTACACTAAGTAAAGAAGTTCCTTGTTTGTTTGTTTATTATTTTATTAGAAGAAAATATTATTTTTGTTTCGGTTTTTGTAGATTGAACTGATGATTAATAGTTGATTTTGATATATAAATTACTGTCTTTCTGTTACTTCTTTCTATCCCGGGACTGTCCCGGGATCCCGGGATTGACTTTAGATAATCCCGAAATCCCGGGACTGGAAAAATGGGCCGGGATTGAATCCTCTAATTGTAATACCACCTATGTTACAAATAAATAAATGATTATGATTATGATTATGATTTTTAAAATTCAGTTTGACAGATCTTATATAACATAACATAACATAACATCACGCCTTTTATCCCCGAAGGGGTAGACAGAGGTGCACACAGAAGTAACACCTAATTTTCACTATTTATGTTATGAGTCCCATGTAATAGAGGGTGAGCCTATAGCCATATACCGGTCACAATTCCAGACTCCGTGCTACTACTGAGATTAGATCTCAAATACTTTACCTCTTTATAGATTTATCACTTGAATTTAATTAATATTCAAGAAACAACAAGCCCTTAGTAACAAAACAGATTACAAACAACAGCACAGCCAGCGGCAGAGCATATCTATTAGCTATTTAGCAATCTAGGCATAGCTCAGGTTTCCTATGATCATCAATCATTAAACAATGCTATACCTCTGTAGAGCAGACTGCTTTCAGCTCAAAGATAGTTAAATTATTTCTAGGCATTTCGTTTAATTGTTCCATTGGTTGAATGAAGTTGCAATTACGACCGTGGAGTAGGAGATCACCGCTGGAATATGTGTCTTCTCTACAAAAGATGGTTTGCCGTAATCGTCATGCTTAGGAGATGGGTTTGGTATCGTAGTTTAAAAGGTTCATGTTTATCAAAGAGTGCAGACCGGTCCTATCACATATATAGTCTCCTTACGATCTAAGAGGTCATAGAAGAGAAAAGGTAATGGACCTACATTGCTGTTTGTCAATATCCACCCTCAGTCTTCGACTCTCATATTTCGTAACAAAACCCTTATAAGAAAGCACTAGAAGTCTTCGCGAATTGTACGTCAACAGACATCATAATGAAAGTTTCGTGCACTTGTTGGTGAGACAAAGTTCCTTACGATTTAAACGTGACCCCGAACTTGGGCAAATGGTTACCGGTTGCAACTTTGTCGTACTCAACTATGGGCTGGATTTTTATTAGATTTCCAAGATGTTTCCGAATTGGGTATCGGGGCGATACACCTTTATTGATTTCTGTATATTGTGTGATGGTTGCAGGATTTGTGACAAAAGGTATTTATGCCACTTTTACTTCCATGTCGCCCAAGGGTTAACTGGTATTGGTAGAAAATGTCAATCATCCAAAATATCTGGATGTTTTTGACAGAAATAAAACAAAAGTAGGTAATGTTATGTAGATGGGTTTATCTATGTTTTGAATTAGTTGTTTTGTGACCTTTCTATTATTTTATCAATTTATTGTCAGTTTTCATTTTTGTTATTTTTTTGTTTTACTTTATATTTATTTAAGCAATTTAATATTTGTACTCCTCATGGCAAAACTTAGCGAACACATTTTTTTTTGTAACACCAATATGTATAAACCTATGATATAGAAATAAATATGTATAAGTACTATTTTTTTACGCACAGTGTATGTCAGTCCCATCGTAACCTAATAAGATAATCAATTTGATGAATTAACAGGTGATTAACAGATGTCAATCATTTGTTATTAATTTCGGTTTTTTTTAAGGGGCATAAATCATCGAATGACTTCTCTCCCCTAGGTAAGGCGGGAGGAAGTGTCAGACTCTTACTGACTAAAAACCACCCCGTTCCTACTCATGCACTTCGAGCCGGAGCCCCGGTAACCCGTTAGGTTCTCTGCGGTATTAATTTCGGCTATATTTGGCATTAAGTACACTGTATACTTTTGTGTATTAATTAGAGAAAAGATATCTAAGGACCATAAACACGTGTCTATGGTCCTAAGATATTTTTTTCACCGTGTCAGATGAGGAGTAATATTGTTTAAAAATATACAATTTTGTATGCTTGACTTTCCCAATTTGGCACAATCCCAGAGCCTCTTAATTGTTACTGAGAATTCCTTTCATGATCTTCGTTATTATGTTGAATATTAAAATTAATTGCATTAACTTTCGTTCATACCCAGTACTTCGTTTCGTGTAACATTTACGCGTAGGTAGTATTTCATTCATTTATTTTTATATGCTTTACCGTAAACATTTAATGGACGATCAAGTATTTAATGAAAAATGGTTATTGCTTTTATTTGTCTTATTTTTTTTTCTGTGGCAATTGAGTCTCCAAAACGATCTTGTCGACTATACTGCCAATGTCGAGTGGTTGTCTTAAGTTATTTTGTAAATGAAAAAATACGTGTGACGTTGTTGTTGAAACGTTAAGTAATAACTGTTACTTTAGTAGGTAGTCATTATTTCTACATATCAGACTTTATGATTATTATCTTACATTCAACCAATCACCGTGATCACTCTGATATGGAACGCTATAAAAATGTGCGTCGACCAAATTGGACACAGCCAGATTTGACCAAGTTCTTTGATTATTATACAGACGATTATGTATTACAGAAATAAAATGAAAAATAAAAATAACAAAACAAAATTACAATCGTCACGATTTATGCACAGAGCGCGTAAATGAAAACAACGCTATTTCAAAAATAGAATACTGATGCACAAAATAAAGCATAGCAAAAAGTACCTATTCTTATTACAAAAAAAAAACAAAACGTTTGCGTATAATAATTCTTATTAAAAAAGACACAACGTTTGCAATAGTGCCAACTTAAAATTAAAAAAAAGAACAAAATTTGAATTTGACAGACTCAAATTGAAATAGTTTAGATTTAGAACGAACAGTGCACGCGTGGGTGACTCAAGATTAAAAAAGAAAAATGCTTAGAGGAGTAGTGTATGGAATAATTTATCAGGTATTAAATTACCTTTTTTTATTATATTTATTTCGTGATGAATTTGAGAAATGTGTGTGATAAACACGACAGAGAGACTCATTAACAACGGGAATCATGTTCATAAAATATTTTATAATTATTAGTTTTTGCTCGTGATTTGAACTCAAGTTTTACATTTTTAGTTTAACTCGTTGAGTACCGCCATTATAGACACAATTAAAGAACAATAGGTTGCGGTCACCGGTGTCCTCGCGGTGTTTGACAGTTTAGTTGCATTTACATATTGTCTGAATTGCTCTTGTGAATAATTGATTGTTAAAAAGTGCCTACCCATTAGATCAGTAAGTACTTTTATATTTATTCGGAAACAAATAACGATATCATCGTACGTCACAACTATTGAAGTTGTAAAATTGGTTCTTGTGCCCTAAATATTTAATGACGGAAAATTGTTTAATCTTTAAATTGCTTTGTCGATACGTAACCGCCCTACATACGTGTGGTAGGCACAGTCCGACACTCGGGAATACCCGGAGGATCCCATCGCATGTCCCGTGTAAAGTCATTTAGTTCCCAAATTCCAATACCGGTGCGGGTGGTAAAGAGCCAAACGCGGGCAATTGAACCTTCCCGACCATAAAACTTTGTACAAAACGAGCTCGCTACCTTCTTTTATATGTGTTCTCGTAAAAGGGCTGCTCTTCGTTTAAAAAGTAAATTTATATCCTCCGCCCTCACTTGCTAATCTCGTTAAAGTTGTACTCAATAGTTCAGAGGCGCCGCTTTGTAATCCGCTTGCATCTCGGCGGATACTAATGATTTAGTAATAGAATCGTAAAGTACGTGATTAACTAACCAACAGGTGTGAAACACACAACTCATTTTACCGACTGGGGCGGCGCGCGGCGCCTCGCGGTCTCCCCCACCTAGACAAAGGTTTGTTTTCGAACGCGAAACAAGACAATGCCGGCCCAGTGACCGAGTGTCGGCGATCGACCGGCGCATGCGCGCGCCGCCCGGCTCCTCGCTCGCCGCTCGCCGCCAGTGAGCAGCCGCGGCGCGACCCGATCGCGCGCTCCGCCCGACGCGACGCGACCGACGCCCGCGACTACCCACCGTCACGTCGAACACACACAATACACCGCTAATGCGTTCTGTTTACAATATTACATTAACACGTGCCCCCGGATCTGATGGCCGACGGTAGGGTCACGTGAACTACTTGTATTCGCCTACAACAACACCCCAGCGAGAGGAACAACAACGTTTCTGGTGCGTATTTTTCACGATTCTATGTACTTTAGTGGTTTCTTATTTGCGATGAGTAGATAAGGGCATTACAGCCGTTGTCTGTGTGAGCAACTGTCTTAATTGAGTAATGGGTGGCTGAGGGAGATATTACATTGAAAATATGGCTAATGTCAGAGCCATTCCACGTGCCACGTAAAATAAACGTCAGAATGGTAGAAGCCGTGCGTCGAGAACGAACTCGGTAACGTTGACTTTACAGACGGAGCAAATAACCTCACAAATGAAGTTACACTCAGCTCTCGAGTATATTACTGAAAGTGACTCACTTTTTCTTAAAGATGACGATTTCATTACGTTAGACATTGTCAGTTCAATAAGTAACTGAAAATGATAATTTTCTGACAGAAAATGTTCTTAGGAGGAAAATTTGGGAAAATCAATCACTATTCTATTTTCTGAGTTATATTTCAGAGCAAAATTCATAGTTTTATTTCAATCCCACCTTATAAGTTACGATTATGTACTTGTGAACAGTTCTAACCTAGACATTGAGTGTACGTCAGTAGTATCTTCACTAATCCTTTTTCGTATCGATTTTTTAATCTTTAAATGTTTCAGTTAAAATTGACACCTACGCTACACAAATTTTGTATTTGACAAATGTTTTACAAACCGGATTAAGACCACATTCAGGTTTTCCGACGAATTTCCTAATTCACTTAAAGCCTTAATCTTTTTCAAGATTACTTTAAGATCCTCTGAAAGTGAGAAATCGAATGTGATATGAATGATTATTTTAATTTAGTACAAAATTAACTATAATTTGCAGTCTTTTGTTATCTTATCAAAATGAATCATATTATTGTGATAACAGAAATCAAAATCGGTTGAATTGGGTTCGTCTTTGATAGTATAAATCAATAGTCACTTGATTCGGGAACGCGGAGCTCCATTAATCGATAAGTTAGATGAAAAAAGATCGGTTTAAAAAAAACTAGGATCACACACACAAGTCGAATGTCATTTATGTCAAATCTCATATCGTATTTTTTATTCATATTATTGTCCTGATTAAACAATCAGGAAAACTAAACAGTTTTGACTACCCCGTCGGCCGAGTGGTCGCAAGTGCGACTGCCGGGCAAGGGGTCTCGGGTTCGATTCCCGGGTCGGGAAAAGTATTACTGGGTTTTTAAAAATCGGAGCAAGCAAATGCACAGAGTCTGGAAATGTGCCCGGTATATGGCAATAGGCTCACCCCCTATTACATGGGACTCATAACATAAATAGTGAAAAGTGGGTGTTACATTGTATAGTGGCATTAAGTGTCGTAATGTGCACCTCTGCCTACCCCTTCGGGACTAAAAGGCATAATGTTATGTTATGTTTAGTTTTCATGAAAACGTAAATGAACATTTATACATCGTAGAACGTTGACTTTAATCATTCAATTCAATATAAATGAAAATTGGTTACCTATCATAATTTTAAAATTGTTTTTATAAAGTTCAATAGAAATTTCAAAAAAGGCGAATTAAAAAGTACAAAGTATTTTTTACTAAAATAAATAAGTAGGTATAGGCAAAAATGTTCCGTCCAATAGTCGCCTAAGAAAATATTTGCCTTTGATTTCCGCACGAAAATGAAAAATAACTTCAAACACCGAATTTTAATTTCATTTTCACTCTTTTTAGTATCGATTTGCATTTTATTTTGTATTTGCAATAGCAATAAAGGACACCAGTAAACATTTAAATTTGATAAAAAACACTCGTTTATTAATTCATGATTTTAATGAAAATTATTTGTTACATAAAACTAATTTTTGTTATATGGTTTCTTATAAATAGGTTGTTTTTAAGAAACCACCATTGTGTGATAATACCGCCCATTGTACGCATATTTACTTGAATTGCTCGTTTTTTAAGCTACTTCATCAACAGCCTACAAATGCCCACTACTGAGCAAAGCCTCTTCTCACACGGAGAAGGTTTGAGCATTAATCTACTTAAATGTGGTCAATAAAGCATATATAAATAAATAAATAAAAATAAATAATTGAAAAGTACGCGTAAAAATTTGTACGCTTTATCAATAAAGTCTAATTGCTTACAATTAAATAGTTATTGGCAAAGAGCCTAAACAGTATAGTATTAGTATTTTATAGAAAAAAGATGATTATATTCCTCGTTGACAATATTCCAACGATTGCGATATTTGCTCGATAGCCGGGACCGACGGCTTAACGTGCTCTCTAAGAAGTATTTCGTATTACGTAGTATTTTTATAAGCTCAAGTCAAGCAAAGTCAAAGTCAAAGCGTTTATTTCAATGGGGTAGACGACTAATTTTTATTTTAATGTCCGTCTGGTAGATTATTTAAAAACATTAGACACGTATTTTTTATTTTCTTACGGAAACGAATAGTTTCGAAGATATATTGATTTGAAATGTCGCGTGACGTCACTTCTCAGTACATTTTATACTAAGAAATGACGTTTTAGCCCCCACTCCTAAACTTTGATTCGTTTTATCTAAGTATTGTTTTATTATACAACAAAATAAAAAAATACATGTCTAATATTTTTTTATTACCTAAGTTACGGACTAATTAGATTTTTAATTTTCATACCCTGTCATCATCCCCATTAACACATAATTAGGTACTTTTGAAACGTCAAAATTTTAATTGTCAGTCCGTCTATCTGTCAGTTTGTTACAGTTAAACTTTCAAACACCAAACGGACACCGGTGACCGAAACCTATTGTTCTATAATGACGGTTCGACGAGTTAAAGACAAGACGAACCCTTTGAGTACCGTCATTATAGACACAATTAAAGAACAATAGGTTGCGGTCACCGGTGTCCTCGCGATGTCTGACAGTTTAAGGGCCATTTTTTCAATCATCAGTCAACTCTTAACTGTAGAATAAAATTTACACTTGACCGTTTTTAGTATGGAAGAATTGTCATATATTCAAAGTTATTCCTAAGTTAACATTTAACTGACCATGGGAAAATTGGCCCTATGAAATGTATTATTTCCTAGACACAGTGCCGGATTAAGCAAGCGCGGGGCCTGTAGCAAATTTTGTCAAGGGGCCCTTGGTTTGCTATCGGTTCTCATTTGGGCATTGACCAAAATTGGTGCCTCTCTTTTTTCTCGCGGCTCGATAATTTATGGAAAATATTGTCTAGAATGACATTACAAACGAAATTGTCTATGGGCTCATGTATGGAAATCTCAGTCTGGACTGAGTTATGAGCGTTGAAAGGAGCTGAAGTCAAACATTTTACTTTGATTTTTTTATTCAAATTATTCATATTTTTGTCACAATTCCCAACTTTAAATTGCGCGCAACTGTACGTCGGGCACAGGAACACCATATTATATCACAATATATTCATATTGCCAGGCATTAATTTTTATTACCTATTTTCTCTCAGTCGATAACTTTTGGGATGCTTCTAGTAGTTGTGTCATGAAGCTTCATGAGCCTCAGCTATGTTACCAGTGGTGGATTGAGTGGTGGTAGCCGTGCGAACATCTAATAAAGTATATTTTGTTTTGCCATTGACTCCTGGTGGGAGACTGATCTACTTTATAGTTCGCATAATCTTTTGAAGAAAGGAAACCGTCGACTTTGTAAAGTGATCAGTCGAAATATAATCCATCACTTTGTGACTGAATGACAATGTCTTTGTACAGAATCTTATGTTAGCTGTAGATTAGAGTATTAACTGTAGTTAAATTAGTGACTAATCGGGAGTAAGTCGGGAGAAGTAGACAGAAAAAAAATTTTTTCGTGTTTTGACGATTGTCACTATATTCAATTCGCTACCGACGCCGCACCTGACAAACATAGCATTAACTCGTCGAGTACCGGTTTTGTAGACACAATTATAGAACAATTTTTTTTTTTTTTTTTAAGGGGGGAAAATCATCGAATGACTGCCCCCGCCTGGGTGAGGCGGGAGGGAGTGTCAGACTCTTACTGACTAAAAACCACCCCGTTCCTTCTCCTGCACGTCGAGCCGGAGCCCCGGTTACCCGTTAGGTTCTCCGCGACTCCGAAACAATTATAGAACAATAGGTTACGGTCACCGGTGACCGCTTGGTGTTTGACAGTTTAAATGTCATGCAAACATAACATGCAAATATGTCTGACAAGTAAATGAAGAAATATGCGTTGTGTACGGTCAACATCAAAAAAATAACAGGAATAATATAGCACTATTTTCACATCTTTGAACTGATTTAACTCGGTTTGGACTGTGTTTTTGATATAAGACCCTGTATATCTTTTTGTTTGTAATGTTATTCTGCATCAGTTTTTACACATCCAATAAACTGCCGCGAAAAATAAAAAGGCACCACGCTCCATACAAATTTGGTCATTGTCATTTAGGGTTTTACATAAAACAAAACTTACAAATAAACTATTCTAGATTTGTTATGGGCAAATTTAGATTTTCGATTACACTTTCAATATCGACTTCTTTAAGCAAGTCATGCTCTATATTCAACATTGTGAGATGATTATGACGTTCTTGGCCCATAGTCTTCCTTAAACTGTCAAACACCAAGCGGTCACCGGTGACCGCAACCTATTGTTCTATAATTGTGTCTATAATGACGGTACTCGACGAGTTCATTCATTTTTAACTCGTTTAAATCGGGCTCGGTTCGCCCGCCAATGGCACCAACCAAGCGCACAAATACTAATTTTCCTTTTCTTACACATACAAAATACCGACTATTTGTCTTTTTTCGTTTATTTCGTTAAGAAAAAAATCAAATTACTTGTAGGTTGATGGTAGTTTTAAAACATTTTCTTCATAAGTCTTGCTGTTGAAGTGGTGTAATTACGAAATACCTATTTGAGCGCGGGGCCCTCCAATCCGCGGGGCCCGTAGCATTTGCTACTCTTGCTACGTGGCTAATCCGGCACTGCCTAGACATAGAATTTGGAAATTATGAAAGATATTTTACTTAGCACCCCTATATGTTTTATTACCCG